CATTCCAGCCTTGATCCCAGCCCAGGGAGGAGCTGGAGCTGCTGCAGAGAGCCCAGAGGAGGCTCCAGGATGAGCAGAGGGATGGAGCAGCTCTGCTGGCAGGAAAGGCTGCTACAGCTGCCATTGTTCACCTGCACAGGAGAAGCTTTGGGCTGAGCTCAGGGTGGCCTTGCAGGGCCTGAAGGAGCTGCAGCAAAGCTGGACAGAGACAATTGCCAAGGGCTGCAGGGCCAGGAGGCAGGGAATGGCTGCCAGTGGCAGAGGGCAGGGCTGGATGGGATCTTGGGCAGGAATTGTTCCCTGGCAGGGTGGGCAGGGCCAGCTCCCACTCTCCCAGGTGCTCCAGCCCCAATGTCCAGCCTGGCCTTGGGCACTGCCAGGGATCCAGGGGCAGCCCCAGCTGCTCTGGGCACCCTGTGCCAGGGCCTGCCCACCCTGTTCTTCAATGGTTTTGCAGTTTATATATTTTTTTTTTATTTTTTTTTAGTGAAGTTGAGTCTGCACTTAACAAGTAGTTGACCACATCTATTTTGTTGGAACCTACATACCTTTTTCCCTTCTTTTAACATCTGCACTTTAAACACATTTCCATATGAACATGTGAATAATAGAAAACATGATTTCTTGTATTTAGTGGCACTTTATCTGCAGAAAAGTGTTTAATTTTCTTTGAATTTCTAACCCTGCAACAAAGGCAAATGGTGCTTGCCTTTGTTACATGTCTGTTTAAGTTGTAAATTCCCAAATTCTGAAAATTGCTACCATTGCTTTTTTTTTTTTTTGTATAGATACAACTTTCCTACTTGAAGTGCTTTTCTGTGGATGAGCTGTAAAGGCATATTTGTGCCGAGGTCACTGGCTAATGGTACACTTAGTTTTTCCATACACTTAGAGATACTTTGTGTATAGGTAAAACTTTCAGAAGGTGGGGTTTAATTCTGGCAAATAGATGGGACCAAAATCTTTTCCTACAAAGGATGTGATTGCTTTCAGTTCACCCCCTGTGCTGACTCTAATGTAGCTCTGCAGAGCATGGTCCTGTCTCCTTGTGTTGTTTTGGAGGAGAATTTGTATTAAGTGAGTCAATCCTACATGAAGGACACTTTGAGTGTTTACAAAGCTATAACTACTCTGTTACTGGGTGCTTCAGCACCAAAATATTTGAGAGAAAGAAGAATTTGTGTCAGCCATCTGAAGGCTGGGTTTTTTGTCCTCCTGTGTGTCTTTCCTTGCTCTAGGCACAGGGAGCTGGCGTGCAGGGAAGAATCTCCTTTATAACTTCAAGGTGATGGTTGTAAATCACGTGTTGTTCCTTACATTTAGGTTCAGTTGGCCTACAGGACAGAGGGGAAACATGGATTTGGTGAGAGTGTCCCTGTCCATCCCTGGGCACAGGAGGGGCAGAGCAGGCCCAGGCTCTGCTGCAGGCCCAGCAATGGCAGCAGAGCCACGGCAGGGGCTGAGCCCAGGCCCTGCCCTGCACAGGAGGCAGAACTTGTGCCCTGGGCAGTGCCCAGCCCCGAGCAGATTGTGCAGAGAGGCTGTGCAGTCTCCTCCCTGGGGATATTGCAGAGCCACATGGACACACTGCTGTGCCCTGGGCTCTGGGATGGCCCTGCTGGAGCAGGGAGGTGGCACCAGAGGAGCCCCTGTAGGCTTTTCCAGCCTTTATCTCCTCCAGGGTTCTGTGAAGGGAGGTCCTCACCGAGCCTGAGGCTCTGGTGTTCTCATGTTTGCACTCAGTGTGGCTAATTTGCAATTGGGATCAAAACTGTGGAAAAATTCTGCCTCCATGCTTTGCATTTGGGTAAACTGAATTGGAAGGCTGGTGGCTCAGAGTCTGAAGCTGTACCCTGTGCCAGAAGTTGCATTTAAGTTTAGTTTAAAGCATATTTGTTAGAATTGCTAAGTGGCTTTGTCAGAAGTGTTGCTCTGCTCTAAACCAGTGGGATAACTGTGTTAACTTAAGAACAAAATGGATGGAAGTGTGTGTAAACAGGAGGTGCAGAACAACTGATTTCACCTTCACAGAACAAGTTATAAATTTTGTAGAAGTTGACACAGAGAAATTCTGCTGTAATTTATTACTCTTGAGGCACCTCAGAAAGGTGCTCAGGATCTGATTATTCAAAAAATTGCTTGTGCCAGAATAACATGTTTGGTTTAGTCTTTGAATTTTATATGCAATATCCAATAAAATGCAATGCTGATTTTGAAAATATACCTTATATTTACCTCAGAGATTGCATTAGAATGATCTTGATTTCAATTACATATATTGGACATGTGTTTTATTTGTGTAATAGCATTATTTGGACTTTCCTGGGGTGTCATGGCTTGTTACACTGGGGGATACAAAAATACAATGCTCGAGAAATTGCAAGGTCAGTCAAAGTGATTTTGGTAAATACAAAGCACTAATGAAGGTGTGCTGTTGAACTCATAGTGAATTGTTTTAGTGAAATCTCTTATGATACGTGCCAAAATAAGATTTTCCTCTGCAGCAGGAGTTTGGAAACTTACATTTGAAAATGAATATTTGCTATTGAAAACTTTTATCCAGATGAATTGAATGGATAGAATTCATAGCAATATAATGCTGTTCAGGTTTTAATGAACTTGAGAGCCTGATATTTAGAGGTTTTGTATACAGATTTCCTTTAAAGACTTCACCCCTGCAAAGAAATTTTAAGAGATTGATGGAATTTGGTTTATAAACTGGTAATTAAAGTGTGCAGTAATGGGACAGAAGAGTACTTTTGAGTGTTACTACTCAACTGAGTTCACTGGAATTTGTACATCAGGTGCTTCTCCAGATAGAGTTGAATTCTTGAGGCCCTGATGTACAGTTTTTATTTATATCTGTACCTGAAAAGTTATGTCAAAGAAATATAAACAGCTTGAACCTCCAGGCTGCTTCATCTCAGTCCCATCATTTCCTCCTGTTATAAAATCTGTCAGCTGGCATAAAAAGGCATCTTAAAGCCATCTTTTACTTTTATTTTAAGCAACAGTCATTGATACTAAGCAGCCAGGTAGGGGAATGGAGTGTTTCTGGAAATTAAGCTGTTTGCATACACAAACCTTCTACACTGAATATTTCAAATGTGAGAAGAGGAAAAGAAAAACAGGCAGAAAAGCTTGTAAGGATATGATGGCAGCAGAATGAGTCAGCAAATGCATTCCTGGTTGCTCTAATTATGTAATGATAATGGCTGTTTAGAAACACAAGAACTTAATTGTTAGCTACAATTTTGCTTTGGTTTGGGGTTTTAGCAGCAGTTGGAGAGAGGCTGATACTTGTTTCTGAGCTATTAATAGTAATAACCAGCTTTGTATCCCTTGGCTTTTATACAGATCCCATAGCCCTGAAAGTGCTGTGATTATCCCCATTTCACAAACACCAGTAAGAAATGTGAGTGGAGTGACAGATCAATGTCATTGAGGTGTTACCTGGAGCCTGAAATGGAGCTTTGGACTCCAAAGTCCTGTGTCTTTGCCTGTTGGGTTGTTCTGGTGTCAGTGATGTTTTCACCCAGGAAGAGTAGCAATGTTTGTATTCAGGGTTTGGTTTCCATTATAGCTATCAGTAGTTTCTGTATAAAACAGTTGTTGTCTTAACTACAGTGTGTTATAGGAGCTCTCAAAATATGAAAGCTCCCAATATGAAGCAATACAGACTATGGAATGTTGAAAACATTTTTTTTTTTTAATCTGGTGTAATTCCTAATTCACTTGTGGATCATAGAAACCTCAGTGAGCTCAATCATCAGAGCAAGGGATTGTAGTTTGATGGACATGGTGTCAGGTGAAGGAGATACAAGGGAAAAGGATAACTCAAGAAGTACAAGGGAAAAGGATAACTCAAGAAGACAAAAGTAGATCAAAATACTCAAAGATTAAGGAGACTGAATGTGAAGATCAAGAATGTCCAGAATGAAGACAGCATTTGTGTGCCTGAGCTGATAGGATCAAACTATGCATTGTTTTTGCATCCCTGAGAGTAAGCCAGAGCTTGGTCTGGGAGAAACCTTCCTCTACGGTTCTTTTGTCCAGCTTGCCTCTTTGTTGCAGTTTATTGTTTGCTTGGTTGGGTTTTTTAAGCTGTTTCTCAATGCAAGATTTTGTGTTTGAGAGACACCGTGGTGGTGAGGTGTTTCCAAGCAAGGACAGGCTCTTCCCTTGGCTTAGAGATTGAGGACAGCCCTGGCAGTTGTCCCTGCTGAGCTCCTCAGGGAAGGAAAGGCTGCTGGAAGTTCTGTCTTTGGTAGGTCTGGTTAGCTGCATGATGAGGCTGGGTATTGAGTTAAATGTTTTTATTGGGCATATCTCATAAAAGTCTGCTGGTTTGTTTGGGTTTGGTTTTTTTGAGATTTATTCAATTTCCATAGCAAGTGTGGATTTTCTAGTGGGTTGCCAGGACTAGGGGAAAAAGATGCAGTATAAAATTGATTAAAAACAGTGGGGCTGATACAAAGATCCTTGCACATATATCTGATTGCAGGCTAAATCTGACATAGGAGTTGTGTCCAGGCTTGTCCTTTTATCATATTTCTTACCCAGTTAGTCCCTAAACTTTAGGGTTTTTTTTCAAATACATAAGCAAGAAAAAAATACTCAGCAATTAAAAAAAAAAAAGTTGTTTGGGTTTTCTTTTGTTTTTAAGTTGATTTTTTTTACAGAAATGTTATTAGTAGGGAAAAGAGACATGAGAATTTATGCATATGTCATATAAATAGTTAATATAATTATGTTAATATAATTGAATAACACTTATGACATTGGATTTAATGAGCAAACTCTTTTTTCAAAGAAGCATTAGTTTAAACCCCAGAGAACACATTTTGCTTTGCTAATTGAAAAGGTGGTGTTCTGCTTTAGGAACTACATACCTTCTGACATAAATTTTTTATTTTATTTTTAAAGTTTTTTAATGTTTTTGAGCAATATTTTGTTGTTCAATGCAAACATTGTCATCTGTTGCTCTGTAAATTTTCCAGGACACACTGGTGACCAGTTGCTGCTAGATCTGCCCAGGAATTCCATCCCTGGATAGAGAGAACAACGTGCTGCAGCTGCTGTGAGCTACGTGTTGCTCTCCCTACAGCTGGGAACAACTGCATTTCTCAGCAAGCAGTGATTAGCATTTTGATCTTGACAAGCTCTTTCCTGTCTGAATACTAATGTTTGAATGATTGTCTCTGCCAAGCAAGGCATGAACAGCCATTGCATCTATAGCTTGTAGTTAGCTCCTGCTTGCTAGAAGCATTTGATCAAATATTTGCATACTTGATTACACCTAATACAGTCTTTAAAAAATCTCCTCTGATTTATAGTTGTAGGAAAAAAATGTAGGTTTGTATGTCTAAATATGCTAAATCAACTAATTCCAGGATGAAATGCTGGAAGAAATGCTGAAAGAGCATCCAGTGTCAGGTGTTGTGATCTAATATGTTGGTGGTTCATGCCAGTACTCCCAGCTACATGCAAATTAACAGTATTCAAGTGTAACCACAAAGCATTTATAGTCTACAGATTAGCATACCCTGAGAAAAATCCAATTATCCTTTCCTTGCTTGTTTGCCTTCATTATATTTTTGTTTCAGGGTACCTCTTGTATTAAAAATTCAGAATTATTTAGAGAACTAAAATCAGATTTATAAATAGCAAATGATAATACAAATCACCAGGCTGAAGTATGAGAGTGTTTTGTCTTTCTTTTCAGGAAAGGAAACACCTCACAAAGGAAGCCCAAATCCCAGGGAACAGGGGAACAGAAGTTAAGCTTTGCAATGTGTTTCTGCTTTGCTGCAAAACAGGCTTAAACAAAAACCAACTTATGCTGCTGGTCCCATTTTAATGTTGGAGGAAAGCCCCCTGTCCTCCAGTCAGGGACAAAAGAGCTGTAGAACGCTGTCTTGTGGAGAGCTGAAAATAACAGGGAGGTTTCGTGTAGTTACAGAGAAGGTTTTGGGTGGAAGTGACCTCCTGGACCATGTGGATCTGGTCTGCCAGAGTGGCTCCTGGAAGGCTGCATGGGGAAATCTCCTCAACACCATTGTGTCATGTCTGGTTAGGGTGTCCCATGTATCCAGGTGGCCAATGGCAGCCTCAAATGAACAGATTTGGTAGAAGGCTGGCAGGAGTTGCAATTGTAGCTCACATCCAGTTTGCTGAAAAACATAAGAGCTTGGGCTGGTAGAGCTTCAGCTTCTGGGCAGGGCTTGCAAGTTGCCATATGCTGATGGGCCAGGCTGCCTCTCAAGCCAATTTCCAGCTGGCCTGAAGGATTTGGGATTGTCCAAATACAGTGGAAACTGTTTGTTTAAGCAGAGAAAAATGATACTACTTCATAGAAGTGTCTCTAGATTGCTGTAAGCCAAATGCAGCCTTCTGTCCAGGAACTTTGTTGTTTGTGGTTTTCATCTGTATCTGAGTCAATAGGAAAGAAAAAATGTTTGGGAATTGCTTAATGGGGAATGATGTTAATAGCAGTCAAATGAAATGGATTAGTTTGCCAGTTGTTCAAGATAAGCCCCTGGGCAGCGCCCTGCAGCTTTATTAGATAAATAAAGGGAGATCTGATTGTGACAGGGCTCCCCAACTGTGAGACTGGGGGTGAGAAGGAGCTATGTCATGATAAAGAAACTGCTGAGGATACTCAGTTATGGATACCTGTGAGGAATTTAAATTATTGATGGGAATATCCATCAGCAAAGAGGTCTTAGCCTGTACAGGTTACAGAGTGTGTTGATAGCTGGTGGCAGAACATTGAGAGAGATGCTAGTGGGAGCCACAGGGGGACTGTGAGAATACCTTGACATGTAAACAACAAAAGGTGGCTTGAAAATTGCATGAAGAACAAAAATATATATTTGTGTGGTTTAATAGAGGATATAAAGGAGATTAGAAGTACAACTGAAGGGTGTTTTTGGGTATCATGAAGAGCAGGGATATTCATCTTTATATTTGCACATGCTGGAGCTTTTTCCTGAAGTGGGAAGGCCTTTGCAAGGTCTCAGACAGCATTGATGCTACCTTGGGGGTACTCAGTAGAAATGTAGTGGAGCATGAATGCTCCTGGAGCCCTTGTGAAATGGAGCGTTCTCATGGCATTAGAATTGGGTATGGTGAAGAAATCTTTCATCAAAGTCAGGCTGAAGTAAATGAGGGAGAAGTACTTAGCAAGAAAATTCAGAATTAACAGGGTGTTAAATTGCTGCCAGAGACCCTTGTGACACAAGTGGCCAGGGAATGCATAATGTCCTTGCAGGAAAAAACAGTTCAGAAGGTATAAAATGGATGTAGCCAGAGCACCTTTGCTGCTGCTTGGACTGTGTGACAGCACTGTAGTTTGTGTTTAAGCTACATATACAAGTTTGTATGTTCTTCCACATTCTTCCTCTTTGAGAAGATTCCATATCCACAATTTCATTTTGGAATGGATTTTTACAAAGAATCATAGAATGGTTGGGCTGGAAGGGATTCGAAAGATCAAATTATTCCAACTGCCCATCATGGGCAGGGACACCTTCCCCTGGACCAGGTTGCTCAGAGCTCTCTCCAGCCACGTTCCCCTGGAGATTATTGGACCCCCTTTAAAAAAACAACAAATAAATACCCCACATTGCTAAGTTATAAAACCAACCTCAAAAAACATCCCCTACCCCTTTTTTATTGCACATCACGCTCTCCCCAAGTGGTGAGGGCTTCCTTGGGTTACAATTCTGTTGTTCCACTGACCCACCAATAAACTGCTGCTCTGTAGTGAACAAGATGGAAAAACCAGAATCTAAGTTGAAGGTTTTATACAGAAATGTAAGGGCCTTTAGTATGTTGACCTCCTGTTTAATTTCTGTGCCTTACTAGATAAATATACTTTACAAATATAAATGGTGTTAGTTAAGCTTCTCTTTGAGAGCAGTATAAAGTACTGGGGTGGTAATTGATGATGAGATTGCATCCTTGGGGAACAGGCGAGGGAGAGGTGGGGGGTGTACGACAGAATAAATGAACTGAGAATCCAAAATCGCTGCCAAGAACGTAATTATGGAATGTTTGAGGTGGTTGTGTAGTGAGTCTTAGTGGTGAAATAAGTAGGGAGCTATTTTCTAAACAACTGAGCTGTTTGTGAAGAACCAGAACGTGCTGAAATTCAGGAGGCAGTGGGAACCCTTGGGAATAACAAAGCACCAGGTGCTGTTAATGTCACCGTAGGAACTCCAAGAATTATCACTTTGATTTTGTTAGCCTGGGGCAAAAAAAGCCAAGGAACAGTGAGTAATGGCCATAATGAATAGAAGATAAGATTTTGATTGCATAGAGAAGAGCTATTTATTTGCTAATACAGAAAGCAAGCGTCTGGAACTAACACAGGCCAAGTCCTGATGGAGTGACCGCTGAGTCACCGCTGGGCAGGGAGTCACCACTCAGATGGAAAGGTGACAGCCTGTGCTGCTTGCTGGAGTGTGAGGATTCTTGATCTTTCCAAACTGCCACTTTCCAACTCATTTTTTTGCCTCTTCACATCCGTGTTTTTCTCTTAACTACTGCCGACTTGAAAGTTTTTGTTATTTGTTCATAAATGCTGTAAAAATCTCCCAGCTCTTTATTTTATGTGTTTTCTTTGAGCTGGTTCAGCAACAGTCTTTTGCTTCAAATCTAGCAAGGGTCATAGACCTGTGCTTTACAAAATTTAGCCATGTATTCGGGATAGTTAATCCTTATTAAAGTGGGTTATAGTCCATCCATCTGCAAAACAAACTCAATGATGCCTTTATTATTTGCCCCCCCTCCTCCCTGCCAAGGATTTTCAGAATAATAGAGGAGCTTTGAGAAGTTTTGATGAGACACAGTGATTGAATTAAGAAGTTCAACAGTAGGCTAAATATAAGTAATATTAATTTCTCAAATCTGTGAGAAATTTTGTACCGGTTCATCTAAGTAGCAAAGGATTAATAATTCATATAAATCATAAAGGTTTAGTAAATCATGCATCAAGTTAAGATCCTACTTGCTATTACATTTTCAGACATTGAGTCAGCAGCTTTATAACTGTAACCATCAGAATTTCAAATGTTAAATGTATTTTTAACACTGCTTAAGACTGCATAAGAAATTATAGAAGGTCACCCTTTTGAAAAATGTACCTGTGCATGTGTAATTTGATACATGTAACATGATCTATTATGCACATCAGGTTTGTATTGTGCAATTTTATTACATTAAGTGCAGCACAAATTGTGTTTTATTTCACATTCTGCCAACAAAGTCGCTGACTGAGAGTTGTATTTCCAAGGCAAAGATCTGCTTCTGAGGAATTTCAAACACAGAAATACCACTTTTACTAGATGTGTGCAAGGCCAGGCACAACTTCTCTCAGAGCTCTGCATCATCTTTAACTGAAAAAGAATTATGTGGTGTGATCAAGATTGTCATCAGCCAGAAAGGTTAGGTATTAGAGGGAAGAAGTCAGCTTATAAAATCTGATTATTTTTATCTCATCCATTTGCCTGTCAGTAATGGTAATCGAATATGTCTGTACACGTTAACATTAAGGTGTTTGTATTTACATATGCAGTTATATGTTTATAAAGACTTTTATTCTCTTCAAGGAAAAGGAAATTTGAACCATTAATCCTTTCTTAATAGAGAGGTTTGGTTTATCTTTTTGCTAAAGATGTTAAACCCAAGGTCAGTTCATGAAATGCTGTCTTTACATACGATTATTTCAATCTTAAAGAATAATCTTAAAGTTATTTCATGTAAATTTTGACCTTTGTAGTATTTGTGTATGATAGATTTAGGGTCAAAATCTATTTGGAATCATCGCTTCATAGAAACACAGACTCACAGAACCAGTGAGGTTGGAAAAGCCCTCCAAGGCCACAGAGTCCCAGCTGTGCCCGATGCCCACCTTGTCCCCAGCCCAGAGCTCTGAGTGCCACCTCCAGCCCTTCCTGGGACACCTCCAGGGATGGGCACTGCAAAGCTCCCTGGGCAGCCCCTGCCAAGGCCTGAGCTCCCTTTCCATGGGCAAATTCCTGCTGCTGCCCACCCTGAGCCTCCCCTGGCCCAGCCTGGGGCCGTTCCCTCTGCTCCTGTCCCTGTTCCCTGGCAGCACAGCCCGACCCCCCCGGCTGTCCCCTCCTGCCAGGGACTTGTGCAGAGCCACAAGGGCCCCCTGAGCCTCCTTTTCTCCAGGCTGAGCCCCTTTCCAGCTCCCTCAGCCCCTCCTGGGGCTCCAGCCCCTTCCCTGGACACACTGCAGCCCCTCCAGGGCTCTCTGGCCACGAGGGCCCAGAGCTGGACACAACACTCAGAATCACAGAATGTTCTGCATTGGAAGGGACCCTCAAGGATCTTGAGGTGCCTCCCCAGTACCTGGCACAGGGGGATGGGGTCTTCCCTAGTCATGAAGTAACATGACCAAAGATGGCCCAGAAAACTAATTTGATGACAGGAAGTAACTTGGGTTAAGCTGCTTGACCAAATATAAACACTTGGGTTTTGAAAAGAGGATAATAACAACTCAAAATTTGAAGCTGCTCTTGCAATGGCTTTGTCATGAATTCTTCCTCTGATGGATTTGTAACTAAAACTAAATGGGGACTGAGTGTTGTGCATAGAAATTTCATTCACATTGTGAGAAAAGTTTCACAAGCGCTTCAAAACTGGGTACTGGCTCAGAGCTGGGAAAGTTACCAGAATGAATAGTGCATTGAAGTGAATGCTAGGAGGCCCATTTCTTCAGAGAGAAATTATTTGGGAATATTTATACTGAACAAGTGAGCAGGTGAGAGTACAGTCATTAAAATGTATTTAGATATTGCACTTTTGAATGTGTGGTTTGACACAGGGCAGCACAATCAATTTTCCCAGAAGCAAGGCAGAGGGAAGATGTCACATTTACTGTCGAAGAGCATCACAGTGCACTAAAATCCTTGTGTGGCACTAAAAGCACTGCTCACATTGAGCCAGGTAAATGCTTCTGCTGGTGATGAAGAACAGTCAGTTATGCTACCTATAATAAAAACAAGTTAGTCTCCATAGGCAGAAATTGGCTTTATAAATCCATAGGAAGCAGCTCAGTGTTTCTCACGTTGTCAGGCAGTGCAAGGCTGGAAAAGGCAAACAGCAAAGCTCTCTGAACGAGGAAAGCTTTGTGGCCAGCAGTAAATGGCAACACAGGGACACAGGCAGCTGTTAAAAAGACGTGCTCTCAAACACTGAACTGCATTATTCATGTTGACACTAACTACCAATGACTGCTTCACAGCTGAAGGTACCAAGGCACGGCCACACAGCTGAGCTTCTCTTCAGAGGAATTCAAGGGACAACAAAGGAGTGATGGAGAAAATAATTAGGGCAACTAAATAGTTCTGCTACAGGAAAGTGACACAACTCGAGGTTTTTTTTTCAAGTGCTCAGGTGATTTGGGGAGCACAAAAAGTGAAAAGTTCAGGCAGAAATGAAGACTTAAAGCCTTTTACTAGGAATTGTTAGCAGAAGGGGAAAAATGACCTTATGAGGAAGGAGCTGGGGAAATTTGGAGTGGTAGGGTGGGAATGAGGTTATAAAGATATTTACAGCATTAAGCATAGCACAGAGCCATGAAGTAATGCTTAGGTTAATAAATACCTGTGTACTTTACCTTTGTCCCTAGCAGGTTCTGTTGTATGAGTTAGACAACAGGGAGAATCCACATACATTTTTATTTTAGTCACAACCTGAGCATTAATGAGTGTCATGAGAGGGGGAGGAATCCCCCTCCTAATTATGGCTTAGTGTGTTTGACTTCTGAGAAAAATCTCAACATTTTCATTAACTCAGGTATATCCCAGCTGCCTGTGAGTAACAGACATTCACCATAACCAAATATTCACCGAGGACAATGTTGACCTGTGGCATTTGCCAGTTGTTTTACAGTCTGGTTAAAGCTTAGGGATTGATTTATGATTAAATTTTTAATCAACACAAATATTATACATATAATCAAAGAATGGAAGGTTTCCTGTAGTTCCTGTGCATGCATTGTGGTGATTCCTTTCACAGGGTGCACAAATGAACCTTTTTTGTTGGAATACTGTGACACTACAAACTGATTTGTGCTGGGAACTGGGGATGGACTGCTTGGGACCAGAGCTAAAGGCCTCTCCATAAGCAGGCAAAAGTCATGTGGAGTTTATTTAACTTTATTTCACAACATTGATAATCTTTCATCTTCTAGTTTTCATGTTGCTAGGTTTAGATATGTGGTCGTTTTTTTTTGTTTTGTTTTGGATTTTTTTAGGTGTTGTAGCTACATAAATGACTGAGCCCAGGGGATGGTGATGCTTTTAATAAGTATAAACAGCATTACTTAGGTAGGAGGTTTATTTTATAAAAATCATTCATACTTTCAGTACTGACTTGTTCTATAAAATAACTTATTTATCAGAACAGGTAAGAAGACCTATTCTCCTTCTGGTTGTCCTTTTTCTTGCCTAAGGTGAAAGCAGAGTGCAAACTGGAACCTTAATGAGTGTTTAACCATAGTAACTAATTAATACAAATAATTTATGTGACTTATTTTTTGTGCAGAGATTCCAGTTGATTCCACTTAAACTGGCAGACTGTGTATTTTGATATTATTTTCTTCCATGCTTAATCCTTGAAACCTTATACTGTGATGGTTTGTTTATCAAAGCAAATATCTCTGGAGAAGAAGAGTTATGCAAGTTACACAAATTTTAACTATCCCACTTGATGAGTGGGAAGCATGTGAGAAAGTAGGAAGGGCCCACTGTAGACCAGAGGACAAGGTGTCACTCTGCTTTTATAAATAAATTAGAATTATTCAGTTAAAGAAGTTGTCTACTTACAAATATAGTAGTGTGAGTACTTCCCAGTAGTGTGCTCCAATTTCTTGAAGGCCTTTAGTGGGAATTCCCTCAAACAGATCCCAGAAAAACAAAATTGTTCCTGTGAACTACAGCAGCAGTTTTCTCCAGCATTCTGGAGCTGAGTTAATTCTAAACTGACAAATAAGAGCTTCCAGGGAATCTTTGTTCGTGCTCACATGAAGCAGCTCACTTGTGATGATGAGTAGTGTGCACGTGAAAAATTGTTTTGTTTATATGGGTGGAAACTCATCACCTCCATCAAAATTTACAGATTCTACAAACCAAACAGACTCATCTAGTCTGGAAAATTTCCAGTAGTCAGTGGTAACCAAACCATATAACGGTATTATGGTAAATAGGAAAATGGTAATATAGTGAGATGTTGATAAACTCCCTGTTCAGAGAGTATGGAATCAAAGGGTAGGACAGCAAAGTGGAAATATTTACTTTGTGCCTCACTGCTGTCATTGCAAAGTGAAGTTCTCCTCTTATTGATATCAAGAAATTTTACAAAGAAATGAGATATTAAGAATAGGGAACTTTATTCTCAGGTAAAAAACCTGAGAATAAACTGGAGTTACTTTTTAATCTGGAAGAGGGGAAGAGAAGAGAAAAACCTTCCACTAGGCTTGTAAATGGAATTTTCTGGACAAAGCAGAAGCTGGTATTGGCTCTTTTCATGTTGATGATATTTGAGTGAAATTTCTGCTGTTTTCAGGTCTGATTTTTGGAATGACCCAGTTTGTTATGTTTTGTCTGAAGGAACTGCTCTCTCAGACACTTTGCCTGCCTTCCATCAAGCTCCATGATGAAACTAGAGGCAAACATGACCTGGATCACAGCACTGAGAGGGTCTGATGCCAAAGATGTCTTTAATCATCATTGAATAGATAAGGGCACAGGAGAAAATATTTTCAGTTTATATATGGCCACAGATGACCAAAGTAGTTCAAAACTATCTATTATACATGGCACTCCTTAAGCATCTAGAAGGTTCTGTATGTGCTACCAATTAATTTCTCATTTCTTTTTTCTCTTTGAAGATTTCAGAAGTCTCCAAAGGAACATGTACTAGATTTGTCACTTAGAGTTAGACTCTAACAACACTGGAAAATATAGCTTGGATTTTTTACAAAGTCTTGGAAAGTGTCTGTGAAGGCTGAAATCCAAAACTGGCAGCCAGTTTCTGCTTCTGTCTGTTACTTCTACTGTGACTGACTGAGAGATGCCCAGGAAGCCAAAGATCTTTTTCTTCTCTTAGAATTCTTTCTTTCACCAGCTTATTTAAAAATGTTTTAACTATAGATTGATTTAACAAACTCAGGATGCTCAGAGCTGGAAGCATTCTGTTAATTTTAGCACTGATTTAGTTTTATTTGGTATTCAGCTGTATGTAAAAGTAGGCTGGGCACAACAATACTTAAATAATTAGATATTATAGAGGCTTCCATACATTTTACTTTTACAGGAAAATAATGTGTTGGTTGCCTTTATATTTAAAAAATTCTCAACTGGTTGCAAGAGAAACCTTCATACAATATTGGAACTGGATGATCTTTAAGGTCTCTTCCAGCCCAAGCCATTCCATGATGCATGGATGAACATTGTGAGGGCACATTTAAGCAGATTATATGTTCCCTACTCTGAATGGATGTCCAGCTTTTTAAAGCTCTTATTAAACTGTTAAAACATACATTACATACAAGTGGAACAGATTATGTAGAATTCCATTGTTGCTAAAACAGTGGTGGATTAATCACATAGGAACTCAATTATATCTTGTAATTCATAGATTTCTGCCTTGTATCATCAGTTCATGAATATTTGATATGCCAAGCATGCTTCATTGAAATAACTAATTGCAAATGCTGTGATTTATTGAACAGACTTTACTGGAGTTTTAATAGAAATATCCATTCCAAAGTAATTTGAACACAGATTGTGTGTTTGCTTTTTAGAAATTCCATCCACTATAATAAATTTGCTGCTTTAATTGCATATTAACCTTTGAGAAATCATACCTCTGGGAAAGCCTCCTACTGGAATATACACTTGCTGAATTTGGTGGTGACACACTTGCAGGCAACTGCTGTGGCACAAAAGCATAATTTGCTCTTCTGATCATGCTGGATCCAGACTTTTTAGTCTGTAGGCATTTTTATAAGGCCTCAACTTCTAACAAAGCTTCTTCTAGGCTGAGTTATGTGATAACATTTATCCTCTGTTTATGAGCAGGGAAAGTCTGTAACCTGCACCTGGAACCTAAAAAATCCCATGGATTTTCTTTTCTGGGAGCTCTCTTCTTATTTTCTGGCTTCATTAAGATTTTCAGATAAAACCTCTATTTCAAATGGGCAAAAAAAATAATGTTGCATTTGAAATGAAGAGCACATGAACATTCCTGAGCCTTGCACGTGGGAAACAAGGAAACTCTGGAGTCTTGCCCAACATGCAGGACTCTGGTACCTGGTTTTTGTACCAAGGTCAAAGAAAAGTACCAGCAGCAGGAACTGGAAAAGAGTTTCTGTTTAAAGACCAGGGGGCCTAGAACTGACTTTGGAGAGAGCTCCTGTCTCTTTGCCTCTACCAAAGGTGGTGTCTGTGGAAATTTGGTGCTGCATTTATGCCCTTGAAGGTCTGCAAGGTCTCTGATTCCTGGAACCCTATGGAACTCAGGATTTAGGTTGCTGCAAGACAGTTTCATTAAGTCTGGACATGGTGTTTGAGGAAAGTCCTTTTTTATCTAGCTGAGAGATGCTCAAATACTGCTTTTTATGGAATTTAATGGTGATTAAATGCTGTTGTATAATCACACAGATTGTGCTTATTATAAAATTTACCATCACTTTGAGTAGGCTGAAGTATTTTAATTCTTCCTCCACCCAACTGAATTGAGATAGTGCTGGTGTGACCTGTGCAGCACTCTGATTTGGGCTGCTAAAGGGTGATTCTCCCAAGAGCAGACTTTGCTATAGTAAAAAAAAGAGAGAAAATACATTCAATTCATAAGGTGTTTGTTGGGGTCTTTCCCAAGCTTTTACTGCAATTCCTAACAATATACAATGATTTTTGAGGGAGTTGTCCAATTTTCTGGTTGTGTTAAGGTGTGCACAGGTTAATTTTATAAGATTTAAAATGTTTTTTTTAACTTGCTGCTGAAAGTTCATGGTTTTACTCTGCCATTCTCATCTTCCTTTTCTTTTTTTTTTTATAAATATCAGGACACAACTGACAATGTATTTACTGGACTAATTAGCCAAGGAGATGTGGAGAAGGGATGTTATTAATGTATTTTACCCCTTCATTCTTCCTTTCTGATGAATGAAAGGCACTTGGTGGGGCCCAGAGACAAGACATGAAAGATGCAAAGGATATGTGGATGTGAATGGTTGATTCCTGCAAGTAAAATTAAAAATAATAGTAATCATTTTAAAAAAGGGAATGAAAGATTATTCAAAGCCGGGAGCATTTTGAGAAGGCAGAGAGGTGGAGGAGAGTCAGCTGAAAAGGAATTGTTAAAAGAGAGGGAAACACTGAAAACTCCAGCCTGAGCTTCTCAAATTTTCTGAAATATTATGTTCTGGTACATAAATTAAATCTTTCACAAAATTTTTTTGGTTCTAATCCCAGCCCCCTGGGTTGACATGTCAGAAACAAAAGTAACACTGACTAAAGAGTCTGCAAGCCTGTCATTCTACTGTTATTAAATATATTTAATGAAGAGTAATTATAAAGAAACTTCATTTGATTGTTGGTTGAACGTCTGACTGTTGTGGTAGAATACATAAATATAAATCTACTTGGCATGTAATTAATTCAAACTAGAAAGGCAGTAGGTACATGACCACATTTCTATTGTTACATTAGATTCCTGAGGATAATTAATTTAACCATTTAATTAGCACTTAACTACATATCTAAAACTCTGAGCTACTGAACTTGCTAATTGATTTGTTGCAAATATTTGTTAAATAATGATTAAATATCTAAAGACTTTTGATCAGTTTTTAAGTTCAAATGTTGAGCAAGTTTAGTGTTGTGTAATATATAACTCTAGGTTACTCAAGTGCAATGAAAGAATACTGTTAGCTGCTAAAATTTAGATCATATGCCTGAAAATTTATCTTTTGTTTTCAAAGTTTTCTGAAAACTGATGGCCTGAATAAGCCTGAAGTGAAACAGTTGTGGGCTAAAGGGGATGGCAAGAGGAGAGAGGAGATGGTTGGACCATTGTTTTTACAGTAAAAAAAGGGGTCTCCTGTGATATTGTTTTATTGTTCCTAGGCCAGACATTCAACAAGTACACAAATACCAGCAGTTCAAAACTCAAGATTTGGATTGTTTCTGTCAGAAACAACTGAACTGCGTGTGCCCTGTCCCCTGGGAAAGGTAATTGTTGGTGTGAGGTGCTTTGTGCCTCCTCTGGAATGTTTTCCTGCCAGCTCTAGCCTGCTGAGGTTTGTGCTGGAGCTGCATTGCCTGCTCTGTGCTGCTCCTCTGGGGAGGAGGAGAGCTCCTTCACGTGTCTGATCACCAAACTTTGGGCTCACCTGAGGTGAATGGCTCATAGCCTTTGTTTTCTCGACTATTCCATCAGTGTTATTCAAAGTGGAATTGAATTGCTTGAGCCTCAGAGGTCAATTTTGCCGGGATGTAATAGAGCCTGACACACCTGGCAAGGATTGGAAACCTAATTTGAAGGCTGAGTTGAGAATTAGTCAGAGGGAAGGCTTAAATCTGAAATGTTTTGGTTCAAAGACGAACTAAACCCACTCATTCTTCTTCATAACTTGTTGCAAACGTTATATTCCATGATTCATTATATCCAGCAAGAAATCTAATTTATAGATCCTATATTGACTTCTGCAGCAGTCAAGAAGCTCAATTATTTAGCTAATTGAAACATCTCTGTTTTGCCATCCTGTGATAGTGTCAGAACAGTAAAGTTCATTAAAGCAACAAAGCAAACCTTTTGAAAAGGGAATACAATAATAAATGAAAAAGATCTGGCAGACTGTGCATGATTAGGTTTAAAGGCCAGATTCTTTTGATGATAATTTTTTTCTTTAAGCACTAGATTGTGTTTTCCTTCTTTGCCCTTTCCCACTATTTTACTTGATGGCTGGCAATAGCACCTTTCTTACATGCTCCTGCAGCTTCATGGGTATTAACTTCCTAGTCTGAAAATCTCCAAATCTTTTTGTTTGCACTTATCTGAAAAGTAGAATGTGCGGCTCCAGTGTGAGGTGTCCCCATCAAGGTTTTTAGCTTACTGTCAACTGCTTGAAGAAATGCTGGGCAAATTTAAAGGGAAACAGTAACGTGGTAAAGGAGGCAAAATTAATTTTTCAGTAGAAAATTGTACAAAATGACCAGCTGAGCAGCAGAGCATAGGTGATGAGTATCTGTTGGTACTCCTGCATTAAATCCATTGCTTAAAGGCTTTTTTGAGAGGCTTGTGTTGTACAGATCACTGGAGAGCCTGGTCAGAAGAGCTCCATCACTGTTTTCCAGAGCAGGACTCTATTCCAGAGCTTCAGTGCCAGCTGCAAATGAATGTTAGCAGAGATTCAAGGCATCATGTCCCAGGAAATTTTTGTTTTTTCTAACATGTGCAGCAGCTTTGTGTTTTGGCTTTAGTTGTTGCAGACTTTTTTTAGATGAGCCTGGTAATGAAACACTTCTAAAATTTGAGAGATTTCTTTGCCTAGAGTAGGATATCGGTGTGTGAAATGCCTTTATTTTTATTTACTGCCTCAGGCAGTGAAGTAGAACTGCAGCTCTATGTTTTTTCCCTGATGGTTTGCATGCCACATCCTGGAAAATCTCTCTTAAGAGAGAGAGAAGTGGGAAGAGAGATTTGGCATCCTAGAACAGTTTCTTTCCTTTTGCTGGTATTTAAGGAAATTCAGGTGGCACAGTGATATGTGCTGGGCCCTGGTGTCACAGCAAAATTTCAGCTGTGATGTTACATATTTGTTCTGTGTTCTGGTGGGGGTTTTCTTATCCTGTAGATGTTGTTGGTTTGCCCTTAGGTGCACCAGAAAATTGGACTCCCCCTCCTAAAGAAGCACCTTCTTGCAGCACTAAGCAGTGCAAAGTGTGCATTGCCAGTGGCTCCTTGCACTGCGTGTGATTATTGCTGGTGGTAGAAAAAAATCAGAGCATCAAAAGCTTTTTGTGTGTGTGCATACAGTAATTTTGCTTTTGTTTTCTGAATTTTAGAGAAGCACACACTCATGGGATGGCCAGGGTTGGGAGAGACTTTAAATTCCAAGTCCCTGCCATGGGCAGGGATACCTTCCACTAGAGGAGGTTGCTCCACACCCCATCCAACCTGGAAACGAAAATCTACTTTACTTTAATGGAAAGACTGAGAGTATTTTACAGCTGTAAGTACCAGTGCTCCAACTTGTGGGATTCCAGGCTGTTATAAAATTTCTGCTAAAGAATGAGTTTTGTTTGGTGCAGTGATATGAATACTGAGGATTTTTATTTTTATGTGGAAACTGAAGTCTCAGTATCCAAAATCACTACTGTGTTCCATAGACTTCAGTAGAGAGCTAATTTATGTTCTCATCCTTACATGTCTTTAATCACTGAGAATACAGATTTTCCTTTATATTTTTTTTAGTCTTACTTTTGTCCTTTCTCAAGGGTTGAAATTATTTTAACCTTCCCAATTTTTTGTCTTGTTCAGCCCCTCCTTTACACCCCTCCTCTTTTCTGCTGGCTGTATTCTGTGTTGTCCACTTCCTGAACTACTGTGATGCTCCTGCCTTCTTCCTGCTGTGTCAACTCTTCATACACTGAAACAGAGAGGCAATGATGGGCTAGAAGTCATTAATAATATTCAGGGTTTTCCAGATGAGAGCTGATGAAATTGCACCAGTGAAAGCTGCAGAAACAGAATGGTTGCTGTTTGGTGTGATGCCACTGCTGATGAAAAAATGAGGATTACATTGTACACAATTCTTGAAATCTGCAAAGCAGAGAGGAGTGATGCTCTCTGTAAATACCAGGCACACACTTAGTGCTGGATTTAGTGAAAGTCAGAGAATACCTTTCATGTGTACATATAAATGTATATGCCAATTCTCACACAGAAGGCTGTAACCTAATCTGGCACTCCAAAAATAGTAAGCTTTTGTAAAAGTGCTGTACTTTATATTTAGTTCTGCATGCTGGGCTGTGATTTTTGTGGGAAAATTAGCCAGGTCTGAAAGGAATTTGGCAATCCTCTGTGAATTCTACCTCTAGAACATGCAGGAGTTGGGATCCTTGGGTCAGTCTAATTCCATGTACATAACATATGCATTCCTGCCTTGGATATCTGATCCTAACATCAGCTCCAGAGCTTCCTGAGCATGGCTGGTTCTTTTTTCTTAATTCAGTTTCTAGTTATCATATTTACAAATTTGTTGCTTCTTTGTGTTTTTTGGTTTGTTTTTTTTTTTCAGTGAGCCTGAAAAATGCAGGGGTTAACATTGTCTAAAAATCTCTTTCTAGATGGAACCAATGAGGATTCTGACTAACAGGTTTTTGTTCTTAATTCAGTGCCATGTAAATTCAAGGTAACCAGGGAAACCAAGAGCTTGCTATCCTTATATACTTTGCAGAGTGCTTTCTGGAAATAGTGTTCTCCAATCTGTCATGATCAGTATTCTTTGAGAACACAATAAATGAAAATAACACAGGTAAGAAGCAAGAAGACAGAACCATCTTATTGTGCAAGTAATCATGCAGTGCTCAAAACTTATAATTTCGTTACAGATTTACTGGAGGCGCTGGAAAATTACTAGATTGAAAAAAAAGCCCTGCTGAATGCAAGGTAAGATAGGGTGTGTCACAAATTCAGCCTTGGTGCTTGGGGGAATGCAAATAAAATGCTCTTCACTGGGAATCAGCTTTATCCTTGAACTCAGGCACAGTAACAAACATTTACTCTGTTTGTTTCTGTGGGTTTCCTCACACATGTTGTTGCAGACTTAGCACATGGGAGCCAAGAGGGGCAGATGCTTCACTTTTTTCCTGGTACATGGAGTTGTAGAGCAATTCTTCTTTCCTTTCCCTCCTGAATTTAGTGTGGCAGAAACTAGGGACAAGTTTGGCCTTGCTGAGGAGGGCATGGTGGATAATAAATACCCAAAGCAGGGTCCCTGTACAGAGTGGTGTTGCTGATTTTACATCTCTGTGATGCTTTTTGGTCCCTGGGTGAGTAGAAGTGTGTTCTCAATGCAGGCAGATTTGTGCATATAATAAAGTGTAAGCATTTGCTGTATCAGAAACATAAAGTGCACTCGTGCTTAGACATTGAATTCAGATTCTACCTCATCAGTAATGCCAAACCAATAGTAACTATGATTTTTTATTTTTTTTTTTGAGGGTGTGGTGTGTGTTTAACAAATAAAAGAAGAAATCTTTCCCTACTTTTAGAAACAAGCTTTTTGTTTAATATATTATTCCTGGAGAGCCAGAGGGCTTTTTTTGTGGTGGGCTTCAGGATGGCCTTCACCATGTAAGCAGTGTTGTTTCCAGAACAGTGGCAAACTCAATTCTGGGATCTGACATTTAGATTTCCATCTCTCTGCTGTTAACAGATATGTGCTGTACTGTCTCTAAAATTAATTGTGAATCCTACGAAGAAATGTAGAAAATGTTTCAAAACAAATTAAAAATTAATGACAAACCAAGTCAGATTTTTCATTTGTGGCTTGTATCCTTTCACCTCCAGAAAACTAGAAGCCATCAGAGAAATCAAGCATTAGATTCTAATTTGGAGTGACTTATTGAAAGAAAATAATCACTAAAAAGCTCTAATGATATTTTCTGACAGCTCCCTAACTCCTACATGTTGCTAGTAAGAGCTGCCTCGAGCTAGCTAAGAGCCCTGGCTCTCACCTAAGTCAAAGAGCTGCATGGCCTGTGATCATGTAGAAGAAATGATACCTTTAAAAACACAGCTGGAGATGGTTTTTGGTTGTTTTCTTGGTTTATTTTTTGTTCTTGCAGCATGTGGTAGAATCACAGCTGCTGGTTCTGCCATTCATGTTCTGTTGCAACCATTGCCCAACAGCAATATAGAATAAGTAGGCAAAAATATAAGTCTTACATTGTATTTGCAAAGAAAATCCAGTACAAGCCAGTGATTCAGATCATTGCTTGTGTCTGTTATGTGCCAATCAATGTCTTGGGCACACCAAAATGAGGGGTTTATTCTTTCACCTTAAACTGCCTTCACCTGTTAAAAAATAAGGGGCTAAAAAGGGTCTGTGGAGTTAATTTCCCATGTGGAATTGCTGTAAATTATGACAGCAGTAAGTAGGAAACATGTTTTTTTATTAATCTAATATTAATGAAAGGCCACCTACTCCCAGAGTCTTGCTACCTTTGTTCATGTTTAATAGATGTGTTTGCACTATTTGAAGTCTTCATTTGCATCTGAAGATGCAAAGGGGGGGCACCCTTCAGTTGTGTGTAATGATCTTTTCTTTGGACCAACAAAACAAGGACCAAAGAAGGAATCTGAGAACTGAAATCATACCTGTCTTGCCAGAAAGATACAAGCTGCTTAATTAACTGCTGAAAACATTCCTGTTTTTTGTGGCTCATGTAAATTCCAGTCAGACCTGCTGAGCTGGGCAGGACAGTATAACCCAAGATACAGTGCACAACCACACTTAAAAGGGAACTTCAAACTGTACCCAGAGTGGAAAAGGTCTGAGATGAGGCTGCACATCTGAATCTATTTTATTACCTGTATTTAGGTACAACAGAGCTGGGGAAGGGTCTGGAGCCCCAGGAGGGGCTGAGGGAGCTGGAAAGGGGCTCAGCCTGGAGAAAAGGAGGCTCAGGGGGCCCTTGTGGCTCTGCACAAGTCCCTGGCAGGAGGGGACAGCCGGGGGGGTCGGGCTGTGCTGCCAGGGAACAGGGACAGGAGCAGAGGGAACGGCCCCAGGCTGGGCCAGGGGAGGCTCAGGGTGGACAGCAGCAGGAATTTGCCCATGGAAAGGGAGCTCAGGCCTTGGCAGGGGCTGCCCAGGGAGCTTTGCAGTGCCCATCCCTGGAGGTGTCCCAGGAAGGGCTGGAGGTGGCACTCAGAGCTCTGGGCTGGGGACAAGGTGGGCATCGGGCACAGCTGGGACTCCGTGGGCTGGGAGGGCTTTTTCAACATTATTGTTTCTCTGACATGAGAAACATTTTACATATGGAACAGACAAAGCAGCAATATGTACTAGATAGTAAATGGGTAGAATAATCACCTTATTAGCCCTGTTCCATAGGAGCATTGATTGCTTTTTCACCCCATATCTACCTGAAACAATTACAAAGCAGCTCAGAAATCTACTTGGGCATTTTTAAAGCACAAGAAATGAAAAAAAAAACACAGCTTCTTGAAATCTTTTCCCACCCAGTTTCTGTGATTCTGCTATTGTGGCTGACATCCACACAGAATTCTGCTGCTGTTAGGGTAATTAGAGCATTTAGGTTTATTAGTGCATTACCTAAAGGCCAATTAACATCTTGTAGCATATGAAGGCTATTTTAGCTGCCAGTAGCTTCTTCTTGATGCATTTTTTAATAATTTTCTTGTGCTGTGTCTCTGCAGGTGCTCTAAATGACCTGTTGGTAAGAAGTGGGTGCATTCATGTGCAGTGGGCTTACACTTGTCACATGGGACTTGGAACAAGGGGAATAGAAATGTGACAGTCTCTATCCCACTGGATGCTGCAGTTGGGGCAGCAGGCTGATATTCCTTTTGGGAAGGAGTTCTGTATTTATTTCAAAGCTGCAGGCAGAAATGACGTATTTTCTTTAGTTACTCACCCCACCCTAAGTGGTATCTTCATTTTTAAAGCGTTGATAAAAGATAAAATCTTGACCTTTTAAAGGAGACTTCTTAGTCAGCTTAGTAAATTTATTTTCACAGTTTGGTGCATCAGAAATAAGTGATGGCAATATTCTTTGCAACAACAAACAAAATGTGAGCTTTGCAACAGTTGCCCATGTTTTTCCAAGGTACATTGACTTGACACAAACCAGCCTCCACTCGCACTTGTCACACAGGAAAATGCCACATCCTCGCTGCGTTTTACTCCCCAAGTTGTACTTCCCATTTTATTACATGTAATGTTCTGGCATTTCAATCTATATTTTAAATAAGGAGAAGCAATATAAATACCCATGTCACATATTAAATCTTTCTTATGTAAATTTCTGCTGAAGTATTAATTTTTTAGGTAGGTTTGGCACCTCTTGTACTTGTTTGCTATTGGATTTTGAGAATTAATAATGCTAATTTTGAGGTAAGACATGATGCATTTTGTAAGGAACCTTGTCTAAATGATAACACACTCTAAAAGAAATATAATGCTAAACACAAGCCTATAATTTGTTTAATAAATCACATTTGTAGCAATTTTACAAATCATCATTGCTGTAGAGAAGAAATCAGCTATGCCCTTTTTAGATGGCATGTTAAAATGTGTCTATTTTTTAAGCCAAACCACCACATTTTTTGCATTCCACCCCTTCAGACTCCCATTCCTGGGACAAGCTGGAGTGTAAAGAACACCATCTTACAGGTTTGATGGAGAAAAAAAAACCCCTGCAGTGCCCTAAAGAAAAGCTCCCTGATGGGTGGCCTAGCTTTTCCTTTCTGGAGAGGGTTTTCCAGTGCTGTGGAGAGGTTGGGAATGCTGCTCCAAGGAAACAAGGGCACATTTTCAGACTGACATTGGTGGCACTAAAGCTTTGGGGCCAGTAGAGATCTCAGCAAAGGTTTTTGGAGGAATATTGTGAGTGTTCACCTTCCTGCAGGGAATACAGAGGGAATTTAAGAAATATATTGTGCAAAACAGCAGCAGCAGAGATTGTTAAAATAATGCTGGTAGAATGGAATTTAATTGCATGTCAGAAAACCTGGAACAAAGGAACTTTTAGCTGTTTCCTGTGCAATATTCTACACTCAGCCTGCATTGCCAGGTCTCTGCAAGTCAGGAAAAGCCCCTTGTACGTCACAGACTCTTTGATGGGATTTGTTTGATAAGACAAAATTTTATGTTGCTCCCCTCATCATAAACAGGAGGGTTGAAGCACAGAGGTATAAAACAAATCCTGCTGGGTGGAATCACAGGTTTTACCATTCCATATATCCTTGTGGTATGAGAAAAAAAAAACAAAAACAAAAGTGTTTCTAAAGCATGTAAAGGTGAAATAAGAGCAGCTTGAAGTAGAAAACTGATTGCAGAGGTGGGTTGTGTTTCCATGTACTGAGAATTAAAGCATAGAGGAAGTGAGAGGGGAGGTGCTGCATTGTCCCCTGGGACTGAAGGAGACCCTGGGAGCTGTAATGAGGCACCAGAGCTCTGATAGCAGGTGATAAACTGTAAAGTGGAATATTAACTTCCTGGGATTTGAATAGAATCAGACTGAGTGAATAATGAGGCATTTCGGTAACAAGCGAGTGGTTTGAGCCAAGCCCTGAGAGTTCCAATAAAACATCCAGTTAAATTTGATCTCTCTACTTAAAAGAGGGGGAGTAGGGGTGGGGGAAGGAAAAAGAAAACTCTGCAGGAACCTCCAAACACCAGACAAGCAAAACAGCCAAGTTCTTTCTGTAGGCAAAGGAAAACAACCATTTTCATAGGATTCTCCACCTGTACCATCCTGCCTTGGAGAAGAACTATAAAGCTGCAGCTGGATCTTATTTTTTTTTTTTTCTTTATGCAGCAGCTAAACATACTCAAAGTCACTTGAAAAATGAAGCAACAACTTTCTGTAGCTGTTAGTTGTGCATTCCATGAAGATATCCTCAGCTTTGCCCTTTTTAGCTGGGTAATTTGCACTGGGTTAAACTCTCCTGTGGATTCCCCTGCTCTGTGGTTTGTCACAGCAGACCACTGTGCTTCCTTTGGAGCCATTTCACCATCCTAATTAAATTTGTGGTTAAGCTTATTCAGCTGTTATTTGCTTCATAGAATCAAACGTTTGAGAGTTTGGTGTCTGCTCATGAGAGCACTAAAAGTAACTGCTTTCATTAAACAAACAAAAAAAAAAGAAGTTTGTTCTGTGGTTTGAAGTGCAAACATTATTACCAACTTCACCAGTAGCTGCTTATTTTAATAGAGAGGTGTAGCTGCTACAATAAATGCTTAACTCTAAATTGCACACTTTTATAAAGGAGACCTGTTCAGTGGGAGTTCTTTGTGTTTCAGGGTAAAGGTTGAAAAGTTCTTTAAAAATATAGACTGAAGTAAAAGTTGTAATTTTTTTGATTGAAGTTGATTTTTGCTTTGAATGGAAATGTCTCAACTGTTTTCTTAAAAACTCTCTGAAAACTGTCTCACTCATGTTTTGGGGTGGTTTTATCAGCCCTTGCTTTTTTATTTCAGAAAAATAAGGAGGATTTTTGTTATACTAACACTATTTTAATTCTTAAAATTTTCAGAAGAAGTATTAAAAAAAATCCTTGTTGTCTTAAAACACTTCTAAACTGATTATTTGAGAGCCATTTCCCAGATCTGGCTTGAGGCTCAGCTGTTTGCATTCAGCTGATTGTCTGCACTGCGAGCAGCTTCAAGTTGGAATGATTTTTTTTTTAATGGAAGCATATAAATCCATATTCTTAAAGAGTAGAGAAACTATTCTAATGTTTGTTTGGTTTCAGGGATGGTAAGAAACAGGCTGTGCAGTTACTAAGACGAGCTTTTTATTCATAAAGTTATGATTCTAGGAGCTCATTGAAGCCCATATCGTATTTATTCATTGCTAGTGTGGGATTTATCTATTTATTACAATGGAGTTTTAAGTGATAATATTGTGTTTGTGATAATATTGTGCAGAGAACTGGAATTTGGATTAATGGTGAGGACAGTCCTTAAGCAGAGCTGTGGAAAGCTGGAGGAATGGCTCCAAGGATGGATGGCAAAGCACTCGAGGAGGCCAGATAAAATGATCTCTGCGTTCCAGACATGTGGCTCAGTTTGGCATCTAACACTTTCTCAAAGACAAATAAGTTCTATAATAGCCACTTCAAGAGCACAGCATGCAGATTAAGACATGTTTAAACACTGAATTTAAATATGCAAATCACAGGCTGAACATAAGCTGCTGTTTCTGCTTTTGTGTGGGCTTGTTTAGCTTAAAAACACACAATAGGCTGGGAAGAATTAGGGTACCCAAGGGTAGAGTGAGGCACCGTGTTCCTGCAGGATGGGGATCCCTGAAGGGTATTAGGATAAGAATCTCTGAGAGCACAGGCCCTTGAGGAAGGGTCCTACTTCTTTCCATATTTAGCAAGCCAGTTTTAATTAATGGCTATCTTCTGACAAATAATTCTATTCTATTGAATTTCTATTGAAATGACTGCTACCTTAAGTACAAAAACTTCTGCATCAATTGAATCTCCTTCAAGAATTCCTTGAAGAAGAGATTCTTTCCTCTTGTAATGAAAACAGTGCCTTGGGAAGACTAAAGGGACTGTTTGGTCCTCAAAAAGGGTTTTTGCAAAGGAGTCTCTTCCACTTAGCCATGATCTGCATAAGCAGCCAGAGTAAAAATCTTCTAGAAATTGAAACAGCACTGCAGGTTTTGTCTAAATATTTTTAGCCAATAAAAATAAAATAGAAAAATTAAACCAAATAATTCTATGCAGACTTAGTACTGTTTATAAATCCAGAGTTTTCCATGTGTTACCAGATGTTTAATTTACCACGTCAGCTCTTGACATTTTTCTGATAAGTATGAAAGATAAATCTATCACATTTTTTTTTCTTTTTAACTGCAATTGCATTTTCAGCATAGCATGCACTGAAATAATAGATTGCTTAGCAAAGTAAACACATGAAAATGGTGTTTAGAATTTCTGTGTAAGCAGTAATTAGGGAACTGCTTGTCAGTTTTAGAGCATTGTGAAATATTATGGCATATTGTGACTTTATTTTTACAGAATCTGTTACATACCTGTCACGTTAATTCAACTAGAAAGCATTCTTTATGACAATTCATATAATATCATAAAGGCAGCCAGTCATGTTTGTAACTGAATCATTGCATGTCTCAGTGTTGAAATTAAATTGGAAAGGAAAAAGAGAGTGCAAGAAGATTAAGCTCAGTATAAAACACATTTTAAAGGATGTAGATTTTAGTTTGCCATTCCTCTTGCAATCAAAAAAATTCTTAAAATGTGAACTTGCTCAATTAGACATATCTACACAAATTAATATTTTGCCTAGACTTGACAGAAGTGAGCACATGAACCACAGCAAAATACCCAGCACTGAGGAAAAAATGTGAAATTTCTGTTGTTGTTCAGTTCTTACAGGGCAAGAATACATTTATTGAGCTACTTTGACTGTGCTAATTCTTTGTTGCTCCACCTTTACTGTTGACCAAAGTGGGCTCATGGCTGTTCTCTCATACCAAGATGTAAGGTTTTTATGTAACTAGATTTATTTTTTTTGTAAGTGATTGGATGGACTTCTGCAAGTTGTGTCCTACTGGAAATTATCTGAGGTTTGAAAAATAAACTTTATTTGCTGTCCTTGTGAACTGCAGGCTACACAGATGAGAAGGAATGATCATTTCTTAGCTTAGTCATTGAGGTTTTGGTTATTTTGGGTTTTTTTTTAAGCTTTCTCAGGCAGTGCTTGGAAAGAATCCAGTTTGTGTGATTGGTGTCTCAAGCCTATCTCTTGATAAAAAATATGAATAGGTGTTATCTCTGCATCTTACTTGTTTTGTTTCCATCATTTACAGTTGTTTTTAGCAGTCTGTACATTGCTCAAACAGCACCAGGTGTCAGCTCAAGCATTTTTACTTCACCATATCTGTGTCATCTTATCTCCTAGGGCAGGGACAATAAAAGGGTTTACAACATTTCTGTGAAGTGGATGTCTTGGAAAAGCGGGCTTGCAATCTCTGAAGCTACTTTAAATAAGTTATTTGACTTTGTTGTGTCCTCACCACGTGCTGGAGTTGAATTACCTGGAGTTACACACAGCAGGTGCTGCTGGGCAACCTTATCACAGTTTGTAGCTGGCTCTTTCCCCCTGCAAAGCAGTTATAATGAATACTGTGTACTGAAGCATCCCTCTGCTGATTTGTTTCTATTAACATGGCCTAGAACAGTGATAGTCAATATCATTAAATATTTTTGGATATCCTTCCTGGATAAAAGTAACAGAGTGGATATTAACTGAGCAAATAAAAAGGCTTTATGAAACATTGTTATATGGATATCCATGTACTTGTCTGGCTTTATTCCTCTCTGAAATGGTGCAGATTTTTTCCAATAATGTTTACCACAAGCTGAAGTGGTTTTTACACCAGTTCAAAACAGGAGCTGTTAATAAAAGTGACAGTATCTACTAAAAGGAGCTATTGCTCACTTAAAGGTAGTTTAATATTCAAGATTACTTTTTTCTTTGCTTTCCATCTCAAAGAGTTGAGCATGTTGGGGATTCTTGGTTTTACTTCCAACTTTCAGATTTAAATTTTAAAAGTCTTGCCAATGTTTTCAATTATAGCAGGACTTTAACTTCTATTCCTCGTTCTGTGTCCGTTCCCATCGTGTTCCAAGGGACATGAGCTGATTTAAATGTTGTATTAATTAGCAAGAGAAGTACTTGGGAAGTGGAGACTGTGGCATTATTTTCTAAATTAAAACAGTGGATGTACTTCTATTTATATTTTATTTGATTTACTTACTGCTGTGTGCTGGGATGTTCAGCATAGACACCCAGCTTCAGTTGGACAGAATACAATCTTAATTAAATGATTCTTATAAAGCTGGTAGCTTTTGGGTTCAGATACTCTTATTTTTTCTGTCTGGTTTATAAATTTGAGACAGTTTTTTGTTGGCCAAGTGGGAAACCTTAGTAGATTGTGACTGCTGACTTTGAAGATCCCAATCCTGTAACAACAGATTTGGATGGTTCCTCAGTACTAATGACTGCTTTAGCATTTGCTCTCTTTTATGAAACATTAAAAAGAAAAGAAACCATGAATAAAGGTAGTGCTGTTTTTAGTTTCAGCTGAATGTACTCTCTCATAAAGGCAGGTAAGTTTTTTCCTGTTTGTTAAGTATTCTTGGCCACTAAAGTATGCGAATATATTCTATATCATAGAATCATTTAGGATGGAAAAGACCCCTGAGATTGTCAGCCCAGATGTTAACATGGCACTGCTAAGAATACACATGTGGATATATTTACATACCTATACACACACAAGTATCTTACAGATTATCTATATCTACATCTACATCTATATATATGTATGAGTTACTTATGTGAGGAACAGTGCATCTGGTGAGTTTTGGTTAATCCATACTTATAAGTTGCANGTGGAAGACAGAGAGCAAACTCAATGCTGCTGTTTGAAAGAGTAGCAGAAATGTCCCTGCTAGCTGCCAACTGTGTGAAGACTTGTCAGATGTGTGGCACTTCGTATAAGCTCCCGGTGTACCAGACAGCATTTGCTGTAATTGCAGCAAAATTGTTCACAGAGCTGTGTGGGACAAGTGATGGGAACATCTGGCCCTTGCTGAGTGAGCCTGAAAGAGTCCCCAAAAGTCCCGGCCCCAAACCTGGTTCTGAGTGAGCCACCAGTCCCTCTTTCATTCTGGGAATGGTGCTGTGCTCTGCTCAGGATGCCCCAAGGGCACTTTGATCCACACAGTCCAACCACATCAGACGTGTTTTGGAAGCAGCTCAAGGCTGGCACGTTTAAAAGCAAGGTGAACAGCAACTCCAGCCCATGCCATGAAGGCTGGCTGATTAAATGCAGTTCTTAATCCACTAAAAGAGCAGTTTTAAGCTGAGAAGTGGAAGTGTTGCAACACAAACAAAACAAACACCCACAAGGATTAATCAGTCATTCTTGACTCAAATACCTCCTTGCTCCATGGCTTTGGAAGCCATTCGACTCCTTTTCTTTCAGCTGTGAGCTGAGCTGTTCTCAGCAAGAGGAGGACAACTTTTGGCTTCTTTTTACCCATTTTTTGGAGCACAACTGAACGCTCACTTGGGGCATTACCCTATCTGTGGAATTCCACTGAGCTCAGTGGAAATAGCTCCCAAGGAGGAGCTGGAGGAGAAGAGCCTGAAATTTGGATAGAACTGAAGTTGATACATTGAAATCCTAATATCCACAAAATGTTGGTGGGTTCTGTTTGTGTTTCCATAGTTACTCACCACCAGCTTGTATAATACTTGGTATTTATTGATTTATTCTGTCTGACAAGATCTATTAGAAATACAAAATGAATGCACAAAAATCTGTCTACATTAAAGTATTTTTTTAAAAAAATGTTTAGTACAAATATTTTAATGAAACTAAGCACTTCTCTATACCCATGGAATTTTATGGTAGAAAAACACGTTTGATAGGAATTGAGTCTTAAAAAGAAGATCTTGAATGTGGCTTTCTACATTTTTTTTAATTTGCAAAATGAACCACATCTCAGGAAACCTCAGTTAAAAAAAAATTAAAATACAGCATTCCAGTATATGTGAAGATAAAATTGGCTTATGTTCAGTCTTATGATAAAATATATATTAAACCATATAATCCAAATTTGAAACATCATCAGGTTAAATAAAAGCTAACCTACATTCTTAGTGAAAAGTACCTACTCACATTTGGTGAAGTCTAAAAATAATTTGTGACTCGTGAGAGCAGACACAGAACCTTGTGCAGCTGTTTAATGGACAGAGTCCATTGGGTCAGTTCCACCCTTGCTGAACTCCTACACTCCCTATTTTCCTATTCTCCTGTCTGCTGCATAAAACAGTGGAAGGACGGTGCCTTCTCTGTGTTTGGAACTTGCACACTTTGCCATAGCTGAGGACAGAAGGAGGTAAGAGAACTGGTGACCCTGAGTTTGTAACTCACACACCTCCCTTTCCTGCAGCACAAAAAGGGGCTTTTCCCATTCCCAGCTGACTCTTTACAAAAACCTGCACAACAAGGTGGTTCTGCTTTGCTTCCTGCATTTACCTGGAACTGCACAAAGCCCAGTGTTGTGACTGGGAACTGATACACAGCCAACCTATTTGCAAATCTGGACTAAACCATGTGCAGTCCTCAATACTAATTACTGCTTAAGCATTTGCTGTCTTTCTTGAATAAATAAAATAATGATTTTTGAAAAAAATCATTAAAAAATAAGAAACCATGAATAAAAGTAGTCTGGTTTTTAGTTTCACCTGAATGTACTCTCTAAATGCAGGTAAGCTTTTTCCCTTTTGTTAGGTAGTCTTTGCCACTAAACTATGCGAATATATT